TACTGTTGAAAGCACTGCCCCGGCTCCTCGCCTCCCTAGTAACACCTACAGAAAGGGGAACCAACTCTGCTCTCTTCCCTTCTTTTCCAAAGAAGCACAGACCTCACTTTTTATTTTTTTTCCGTGTGGCAGTTTTTTGTCTTGGTAGTATCTGAAGCTGTGTTGGGTGAAATGCCTAATTACTTTGTAAACAGCGTACTTTAAGTAAGGGGCAACACTTGGTTTATGTTGCACTTACTTTCACATACTGTGTACCACTTCTAGCAAAAATGAGCTTGCTCTTTGATAAGGAAAGATGATGACTTATATTAAAATAGTAATTGCTGTTTATGTGTATGTCCTGGTTTTGACTGGGACAGAGTTAGCACTTCTTTTATCAGTTGGAAGAGCTCTGTGTTTTGGATTTAGTCTGGGATTTGCTACGAGACAAACGTCAGTAGTGCACTGATGTTTCTAGCTGGTGCTGAGACCTCAAGGACTTCTCAGCTTCCCATGTTTTGCCTGTGTGCTGGAGCACAACAGGCTGGGGGGGAGCATGGCTGGGACAAAGGGCCCACAGCTCCCCGTGTGATTGGAGTTTAGATTAGGATTGAGGGACAAATGAGTATTCCATATCATGCAACGTCATGCCCGGTATATAGATGAGGGTTGACTGGAAAGAAGGGCTTCTGCTCTCATGGGGCTCTCAGTCTCTTGGAGTGCTACTTCTCTCTTGCTGTTTTCTGGACTTGGCTTTCCTGGGATTGCGGTGTTAGGACTTACCTGGTGTTTCGGAGTCGTTTGCTGGGCTGGGACAGGTGTTGGTCACCGAGTGGTGAGCAGTTACACTGTGCATCACTTGTTTGTATATGTTTTTATCATTATATATATATATTTTCATATATTATTAAAATTGTTCTTATCTCAACCCACGAGCCTCCTTCACTTTTCCTGTCTTAATTCTCTACTAATTCCCTGGGGCTGGGGGAGGGCGAGTGAATGGCTGTGTGGTGTTTAGTTACCGGTGGGCTAAACCGTGACTGTGCTTTTATTTTTCTGAATACTCAGAAATTAATTATTTATTATTCCATAGGGTTTTCCCAATAGAAAAACAGAAAAAATGTTCGATATTAAGGCTTGGGCCCAATACATCGTGGAGTGGGCTGCAAAGGACCCATACGGCTTTCTTACTACGGTGATCTTGGCCCTTACACCATTGTTCATAATTAGTGCAGCGCTTTCATGGAAGCTTGCAAAAATGATTGAGGCCAGGGAGCGAGAGCAAAAGAAGAAACAGAAACGCCAAGAGAATATTGCAAAAGCCAAACGAGCAAAGAAGGATTAAATGGGGCAAAAAAAACCCGCATTCCTCGTGCGAAGAATACACTTTTTAAGTGACACACGTGGACATTTTGTGTTGTAACTGTCCTTTGATACTTCATCCTGTTATTTCTTGAAGTATGAAATTTAATCCCTTCAGTGTATTTTTTCTGCTGAGATGATTTGTGTTGAAGTTTGCCCAAGTGACACTTGTTACAGTCATTTAATCTAGTACTTGATTTCTAGTGCAGGTTGCTTTTCTAAATTTGCATGTTAAATTAAAAAATTAATCTGTTGGGTCTCTCTGGAGGTAGATTTTTTTTCTTCCTTCAGCTGAGCTATGACTTAGCAAGTGTCTTAAAACTGTAAAATTATGGGGAAAACATGAATAGTAAACTGGGTTACAGTAAGGCAAGACTTGGTATACCTGCGGCGGAGCTGTGGAGATAAGCTACTTCAGAGTTAGTCAGCATATCTTATCTTCCTGATTTCCCTTGAGGACACTGCACGTGGCCCTGCGGCTCATTCAGCTGTGTCCCTGTAGGGGCTGCTGCTGCAGTCTTTAATGGTGGGGCTTGTCTGCAGAAAGGAACCTACCTTAGCTTTTCCTGTTTCCTGAACTAGGAGACATCAGCCGTTTTTAAATTCAGCCCAAACTCTAGGAAACTGATTGCTTGTTCTAATTACCTTCATTTGTCCTAAGCCACTTGTGTTCTACAAAATACATGGCCATGTTGTTTGGTTTTCGCCAATGATCGCCTGAACAGTCCACCTGTAACTCATTTGTTTCTGCTTTCAGAAACGTTTTATGCCTCAAAGAATAGCCATAAATGGGGTGAGACCAAAGGCCCAGGTGGCCTAGTGTTCTGTGTCCTTGTGACCTACAGCAGGTGGCTGTGGGACACTGCAGGAGGAGGATGTGCACGGTGGTGACAGTTCTTCCTCCTCATGAACCTTCTGGCTACCTTTGATTCAGGACCTTCTGTGTTTAGGTGGGATCTTTGCAGCCTTCCAGCTTGCAAAATGCTGGCATTGTGGAAATTCAAGTCCAAGTGGGGATTGTGTTGTAAATATGTCAAAATTATTTAACCTTGATTCCAATTCATGTTTTTCTAACAGAACTGACTAATTTTTCAAAGTCTAACTTTTATTAATGGTCTAGTTCTAAAGAGCTTGTGGCAGTCATCAAGTTTTCAGACTTGGTGTATTTCTGAACAGCGGCACAGAGTTGTGCTTCCTAGCAGCTAGTCCTTCATTATGTTTAAAAATTAAACCTTGAAATAATACCATTGTTCAAATAAGGAGACCTATAGGCCTGGCTGTCACCAAGGGGGATCAGAAGTGGGGAGTCTAACCGAACTGACTTAAAGCAAATGTGAAGTATTGTTGATCCCCTTTCAGTTTTGTTGGTCAAAGTAAGCATTATCAGAATATGACATTTTGGCATTCATAAATACATGAGATTAAGTCTCCACATTTTGTATCAAGTGTTGTCAAATGTGTATGTGTTCCACCTTTGATACCTACGTAGCTTAAAACATATGGAGAACTGATGAAGAATGCACTGCATAAATAAATTTGATACTTTTTTCAAAAAATAGTGTGGTCTTTGTTTTGACTGGAAGTTCTCAAACATCATCTCTCAGCAAATAATCTGCATGTTCTATGTATCTAAACCATGGCCAAATAGATCTAATAATTTAAGGAAATCCCTGCATACACCAGAAATAAAAAACTATACAATGTTTTTTTTAATATTAATGACAGTCCTTTGTACCAAACGCTGTGTTATTTTCCAGCAGCTTCACCAAGGGCTTCTAACCTCTATTTTAGTAGTTTTAGCCTGACTTTTATCCTCTGCTTGCTGCAGATCAAACATTATTCAAATATGTTGAAGGTTTTCTTAAATCTAAGTTACAAGAATGTCTTTATTATAAGATTAATACAGTGCATAGTCAGCGTAGTGTCATCGTGATTCCTGTTAATGAAATCAATTTTTCCATCCACTTATCAGAGGAAAGCGTGCTTCCACTGCCAAGGGCATTAACAAGCATTCAGAAGAACCATCTTAAATTGACACATAGGTTTGGGAAAATGTAAGTGTACTGATTAAATAACATACCCTGTTTTTCACTAAACCCAAAATTTTACAGTAGTTTGTCTTGATTAGGCCTATTTGAACAGTTCTTCAAAAATAAATGAAACTGCTTTAATATTACTTTATTGCACACTCGCATATAACAGCTGTTTATGTTGCCTGTTAAAATGTTTATCCATCAGCAATATCTGTCCATTACGATTGTTTTATTTATTATGACTACTGCCACTGCCTGGTGGCATCCAGGAACCTGGCTGGAAGGTACTCGCAGTGCTAGTTGGATCCTGTGAAGGCTCTTTTTTTCCATAGTAAGGGGCTGACGCGTGGCCTTTAACACGAGTATGAACTGGTTCAGCAACAAGTCCCTCCTTGTATTCCGAGGCCTGCAGCAGCTTATCCTTTTCGGCTACCTCTTTGATTTTCTGTTTCATTTCTTCTCTATAATTTTCATTCTTAAGAATCTCCTAAGAACATTAGAAAGATAAGTAGAGAAATTATAAGTAAGTGCAATACGCAACATTGGAATAAAACATACTAAACAATCACTGTTTTTCTTGATTTTATAATTAAATTTTCATGTATTAGGTAAAATAAAATGCAGCAAAACTAATTTTTTTTTTCTAGAACTGCAATTTCAGCCCTAGTTTAAAATGTTCTTAATGTTTTGATCATGTTGTTGAAGCAAAACTGCACTGTGGTGTCCCAGTTTCACTATTCTGTTGAATCAAAAAGGAAAATAAGTAACCATCATCAACAAATTTGAAAGTGCATTAAAAATAAGGCTACCTTTTCCATTGTCTTCCATGTAAGACTTGCCAATATATTGCTATTTATCACTTGCATTTCTTCCTGTAACTCACTATGACAACGATTTTTGGTATCTGTGCCCCAGGGTGCAGTTTTTGGACAAAGAAATGTTAGTACATAAGCTTTCCTCCTAGATCAGGTTGCTCAAAGCCTCATCCAGCCTGGCCTTGAACACTTCCAGGGATGGGGCATCCACAGCTTCTCTGGGCAACCTGTTCCAGTGCCCCACCACCCTCAGAGTGAAGGGTTTCTTCCTAGTATCTATTCCGTACCTACCGCCCCTGCACAGGTGAAAAATCCACATAGAAGTGATGCAGTTGTAGAGATTTGCCTCCACTCCCGATAAACTGAGGCGACTAGCTGATGTATGATCCTACTGTAAGGCCAGAAAACCCACCCAGGACATGTATTCAGAGAAGGCTCGTGTGTCTTGCTGATCCAGCTTCACGAAGCTCTATACTGACACATGGTTGGGTACAGGTTAAAGCTAGAAATTCACTAATAAAGATGACCTGAACTGGGATTTGGCCGCTGCCACTGAGAAACACTGAAGCCATTAGTTGAAGCGAGTGCAATTACTGGCTTGTTCGCAGGTCTAATAGCAAAACAGCTGTTACAGACCTTGCCATCTTGTTCAGAGGAAAACATAAAGAACTCCCAAAGTAAATACAAAGAGAAAAAGCCCTGAAAAATACTGAAGTTTTGGTTTTATCTGTTAGCACATGTTTCCTGTTAGAAGGATGATTTGCAAATTCCGCTAGCAAGACTTCTCTCTGCTTTTGTTAGGGTAGATAGTGAAGAGTATTAGAAACAAGAGCAGAAAGATGATAGGAATTTTTATAACGCTTTGAACCCAAATACAACTTAACTGTAACCAACACCATATAACGAGGAAGCTGCTAATACCCACATTTAGACTGTGATTGGAGGAAAAAGGCTGAACAGCTTTCTCCAGATTACATGTATATGGCAGAGCTAAGGAGAAACGAGATCAGTACACATCTCTCTCAATCGGATACCATGACGTTATTTTAGGAATGCATTAAAATACATGTGATATTGTGAAGTGTTGACATAGCAAGTATCTGAATATTTAAGAGCATTTAAATAGGCAGTATTTAAATAAAACCTTATCTTGGAGATGTCATGAAAACTAACACTTCTTTTTTAGTCCTTAATTGCCTCTAAACTCAAATTCACAGATGCACAAAGCAGAGGCAAAACACTTCACATATCTACATAGCATGAAAATACACAAGCAGCACATAAGACTTTGCCAACTGAAGGGGAGGGAGAAAATTCTCCCATACTCAAATGAAAATATTGCCAAGCATAACAAGGTCAAATTTTCAACAGCCAGTACAGCAAAACCTCATTATAACATCTCTCGATTCCATCCCTCCTTTCCACATGCCTGTATAAATCTACCGTGCCCTCACTGACTTCAAGGGGATTACCCCTATGGTGCCTGTATTACCCCACTACTAAGGAACAAGGTCATACACCTTTGTGATATCTGAAGACTGCATCATAGTCCCTGCTAGAACAGCATGAAATGATTTATGAAAATATGAATGTAATTCACCTACTAGCTTCAAACATTCTCCAGTGATTAACAAAGTTATCTTAGCCAGGTAAATGCAGTTGTAACTAAATTCCAAATGCTCAAAGTCTATTTTAAATGTTTACGTGTAGAATTGTAATCTGAGTTTTCAGATTCAAGTAAGGCTCTTAATCAGCTCTCACTGGCCAAAGTATAGTTGTCGTCTAGTAAAATAACCCTTTGATCTTGAAAAAATCATGAGGAATGATCCTTACTAGCAAATGCAGAAAAAAATACTCAAGTGCCTTTTTCAGAATCTTATATAGAACCCACACCAGGACAAAAGTTTTTCAAGTGGAAAGTAGCTGCACACATCCATTTTATGGCACCAACATGTACACTGAAATCAGGGTTCCTGTACTCAAACTAAAGAAAATGTGAATTTGGAATCTTGTGCCAATTGGCATGTTAGAAAAATTGGGTCAAATAGCTGATTTTTCTCAGCCTAAACATCTTGTCCTTTGACACTGGCAAGTTTGTTCTGTGGAATTCTCCCACAGGCACTGAATCCTTCCTGTTTCTATATTATCATCAGCAAATACTTCATACTCAATTCTCACTAGAACACATACTTTTTTTTTTTTTAAGCATTGTGATTGTATTTCTAAATACTACTGGTTCAATTACCATAGCCACTGCAGTTTGACGCAGTTATGACACTGAAGTTCCCTACCGTTACAGGCATTTAAATAAAAGATCCAAGTAGTTCCAAGTTTGAACAGGATAATCAACTTCGTTCAAAACACAAATTTTAATGAAACGATTGCATTTTTATAGAAGGAATTATCCTTAAAACACACTAGAAACATGCAGGATCTTTATAACTAATAGTCCAAATTTGGCTTCAGTTTACTTGCATGGCTCACTGCAATTCAAGACAGTGAGTGTTAGAAAGGTTTCTCCTCAGGCAACCTCCTGGTTCTACAGAGCCTCCTATGACCTGCTAGTAGAGAAGCCAACATCTGCTCTGGGCTCTTCTACCCATGACAAGTAGTCTGTAAATCTGCAATGCACCACAGGCTCTTCCAGCTCGCATGCACACAGTGACGTTTTTACTTCGAGGCTCCGTTGCTACCCAACCCTTTACTGTTTGACATACTGTAAACAGTGACTGGGAGTGAAAAGTTGTTTGTTTTGGTTGTTTGTTTGTGTTTTTTTTAAATTACATTGGCAGGTTCGGAACATTTATCTTCTCCTCCAAGATAAACTGAAATATTTTATCAAATGGCTAGCTTCACTACAAACTGCCTCCCATAACATAACCGTTTAAGTTTTCTGCTGAAATATAAGAACATGAATGTGTAATGTGCTCTGACCTTTAGGGGAAATACAAATGATTCCATCCAACACAGAGAACGTAGTATCTACCAGGTCACTGCAGTTTTCTGAGGGTCACCTTGTTCTTCCAACACTCTCTTCATACAAATAAACGATACAAGCTCTTTGAATCTGTAGTTCTCAAGAGGCACATGGCATCTAAAGAGTGTCAGAAATGCCCTTTATCATTTTTATTATAAGAGAAATCTAAGGATTGAGATTATGCTGCAAAACTAAAAAATGAAAAATGCTTGAAGACATCTAGTCATGTTTTATACCAGTTGAAATCCCTACACTTAAGGTGTTCACCTTGAAATGCATCGACTCCCGGCATTTGGAACAAGAAACACACGATGTGGCGACAACTAGGTCCAGCTACGTGTTCTGCAGTTTACTTCTAGGTGGAACGTGAAAGAAGAAATTTTGCTTACTGCAGGTTGCTACTTGTCCAGCTTTGGTGATTATTGCAAGCTCTATGAGGTTTTTAATCCTTCTAATGATTGGAGCTGCAGGCCTTCCCTCCTTAGAAAGGCAGGGTTTAAGAAAGTGATCCCTTAAGGTTTTCCTGAAAGGAACCTAACATTATTATTAAAGAAATGCCAAAGTGGCCCTATGTGGAGTTTCAGCCAGCTGCTTTTCATCCAAAAACCAATGACTTCTGCATATTCTTACATGTTAGTAGTGGTAACAGCTGCATGAACAAAGAATGAAAAACGGCCTGATGATAGGGGCAACACAGCCCAACACATGGCGCTGTCTTCCAAGTGCGTTGCAGCAAAAGAGATCAAGGCTGTATTTCATGTCAATGGCATGAAATTTCCACTTCTCTTGCAAACTGTATTTTTGCTTAAAGCTCTCGCTTAACTCTAGTAGCTGAGATGTATCACCAAGCATCCTCTGCTGCTTGGAAACTGCATTCATCTCTACTTCAGAGACAGAGAAATCTAGAAATTTGTCTCTAGTCAAAGGACTTTCCGTGCCTACCAGGTTGTACTGGAAGACCTGCTTTGTAGGCTGAAGATTTGGAATGGAGCGCTCTTTCACTCTTAAAGGATCTCATATTGTCGCTGTTTTCCCTTTTCTGAATAAACTAGTAGCCTTACAGAACAAACAAAATCAGTTCCTCCTGGTAGGAAAATGTCATAAATACGAAAGAGGTTTCTCTAGGCTTGCTTATTCCTTCAGTTGGGGTCTAGTGACTAGCCTTTGTGAACACTTCTTTCCAGTCTTCTCCCCAGGCAAATGTCTGTACTTAACCTTTTCTCTCCCGTAGCACCTCCTGAACCTCACAATCTAAGGAACTCCTCCTCCCCTTCCTCTTACTTACTTACTGTTTGTTTCCCTCTCAGTCCTCAAGCCAGTAATAACCGCTCACCTCTCACGGAGCGTTTTCAATTTCCTGAAGGAAAGGGCAATCCAAACTTGTGAACAAGTAGCTCCAAGGATGCAGGAGGCTAAACATACAGTACCAACGTAACAACATTCAAGAAGGATTGTTTAAAGGTTACTTTAACAGGCTGGTACTTGTTTTGCTTTTGTTCTTTCCGGATGATTTTCTGAAGACATGATACCCAAACCTATAAATACAAGGGGTTTATGTATTATTAATTTTGAGCAAGATGTCACACTTCATTTCAGATGGTTTTGTGTTTTGATAAAAATACACAGCTTCTTTATGTTGTCTTAGAAACTATTCCAACTTCCTAAGTTATCTTAATTGCATATGTTGAAATACTC